TTAGAGGGGTGTATTCTGAGGTCGGCCGATGACATGTGCGAGGCGTTTCGGCGGTTTTCCGATTTAAATGCGAATATATTTATATAAAAATGCAGAATAGGCACCGTATCCAAAAATGTGGCTCTAAGTTCTAAATGTAATACAAAAAGAGGAATTATATAATTTTATTTATTTCAGTAAGTTCACTTGAACTCACTTAGAGCGAGTGGATTTTTCAGGTTCTTTTCTTTTAGAAAGAAAATAACTATATTACATATGCTTATGTAGCTATATTGTATGTGTATATATGGGTTTGGATTGTTTTGAAACGTGCAAATGTGTATTTTTATTTGTATTCATGTTGTTACGCATTTCAGATTGTTAGACGAGTTTATTTGAAAAAAATTGCAGAATGGACAAGAAAAAATGATGTTCAAATTCTGATTATCAGTACAAATTTCACGTTTGCTTTAATGAATGGAGAAAATTTGTATATTCGTAATACTTTTACTGGGTAGTATTTTAACAGAAAACGGAAAGTGCGACACTGAGATCTAAAGACGCATTCGAATAACAACAGATGCCTCCCAAAACCTAAGCAGTGTTAAAAAACAGAAAAACTTCCTCAGAAACAAAGAGTACTGAACTGTTACGTGATATCAGTCCTCCTATATGGCAGTGAATGCTAAACGACCTCTTCACCGATGAAGAAGAGACTTGAAGCAACAAAAAATGTGATTCTACAGAATGATGCTGAGAATACCATCAACCGAACATGTGATTAATGATTAAATTTTATAGAAAATGGAAACTTTTACTTAACATCAGAAAGAGAATTGAAATTTCTAAGGCATGCAACGAGAAAAGTAAGCTTGAAAAATTTAATACTCACATTCAAAACTAGTTTCAAATGATTGCATTATGTCTCTAGTTTTACTATGAACTTTTACATGCACTTAATATTTTATAAATCCCCACTTAATTATTATCGTATTTTGGAAAAACACTCGTACACTCCCATCATATATTCATGATTGTTCAGTTATTTTACTTATGCATTACACATTTTCATTTTCTTTAACGGGAACAGTAGTATCGATTTTGCATCTGCTGTCCAAGGTGATCGCACACACAAATCTATCTTTGAAGGTAGACTGTTTTATTCAACTGCCTTGAGGTGAATTATGGACAAGGGCATATGTGCGATTTCTGCGTTTGTAATCGCGTGTGCCTTTCATAGTCTATAGTCTATTAGGGTACCTCCAGGTGGTGTAATGGTTAGTAAGCTTGTCTGGCTAGAACAATTACGACTGAGTAGTGAGTTCGATCCTCACTGGGTGCCCCATACTTTCGGCCTTGTGCCACATCTAAGCTACGCTTGGAAAATCACTAGTCTATTACAAAACTGAATGTATGTTAGGTTCTGATTGTCAATAAGTGACCATCTTTCTATTAGCCAATATAGACATATGCATGAATGTATGCGTGTGTGAGCGACTATGCCTTTCTCTATATATCTACGTATTTGGACCAATATTTTCGCATTCTTTTCATTTTGTATCTTACTGATTACTATTCCTTTGTCTATTTTTCATTTAACCGACTTGTACATTTCTAAAGTAATTTGATTCTTTCATCAAAGTTTTAGAGATTTGAACATTGTGTTACAGTAAATCAGTTCTGCCTTAAAGTTCGGTATATTTAAATGTCTTCGGTAGCTAACGAAATGACTTACCCACAAGTGAAACTACAAAATGATAGACCACCGATAAATACTATTCTAAGTGGCCCATTTTTCTTCCATTTTTTTCCAAAAGGTTTTCATGTGTCGGGCATGTGGAGATCGTGTGGTTTGAAATTTCTGAAGAACAAAACAGATGAGGGCTTATAATGATTACTACTGTAAATAAAAAGAAGTTTCAAAAGTATATGCCAGAGTTATTTCGTAAGAACTGACAAGTCGCTCATTTTTGTTGTAAAATTGATCGAGGTCTCCATAAGTCCTATTTTCCGCTCAAAAAATTACAAGCTCAAGAAAAATACTTTCCCTGTCTAAAGGACAACGCTATTCATCTAAGAGTAATGAAATTGCTTTATGAGTTTCTCAATATTTTATATAAATGTTGTTATATATTTTCTATTGTCAATACATAAAACATTTATTTTAAAATTTAATTTCGTGGCATTTGCTTAATCATAAACACCGTCTGTAAAATATCTACGTTGCACAAATTTCCCAAATAGGAGATAACGTAATTTATTGGACTTGAAAATTGCCTAAATCTTGCTCTCTGACTAACATAGGACCTAATTTTAATTTCTTAATTAAGAAAGCCCGTGCTGCTAGGTTTGTGAGCAGCTGATTGATTTGAAAACTTGATTACAATTTGTACTACCATCTTCTTCAGTTATTTCACATTAATGCCTCTATCATTAGTGTGAAATAATTACAGACAATTATTTAATGGTAATTATGTAAATGGAATAAGCGATTGTCATTTTCATATCAATTGTCTTCTAATATGTATGAAACTAATCTTTCCAGCACTCTGTGCATCTGTCGGTCATCTCTAAATAAGTCTTACTGTTGACATATTCTAATAATGCAAAACAAAGACGGTGTGTATAAATAATTTTCGATGCGGTTTTCACTACAAGTTTGCAAATGGCTGCCGTAAGGACATGACGGGGCCCGATTTTTGAATTCGGACTCGGGTTCCGAAAAAATCCATAATCGAAAAAATCTGCTTACAGAAGGAATGATCGCATTTCAACCAAATTTGACACCCTCTTAGAGTCTACCATTAGAAGTGTTGTCCAGAAGTTTCATGACCACGGACCCCTAAACAGCGCGGAAAATCGATAAAACTCAAAAACCGATACGCCCAGATTGCGCCTGAACCGCATGTCGATTTTTTAGCGAAAACCGACCGGATTTCTGAGGAGGCCATTGGGAGTCACCATGTGAAGTTTCAACTCTGAGAACCCCCCACCCCACCCCCAACAGAGTGCAAATCGACAATCGGTCAACCCTTAAAAATGTTTTTCCGGTTGGGTATTTCCTAAACGCAGATTAATTTAAGGTCACGCTATGCGCGGGAAGAAACAAGTCAGTGCGTGCAGTGGAGTGGAAGAAAACATTTGACGTCAAATTCTTGAATGGGTGCAGGGCCATTGAAATTCGGCTTTTTTATCCCTGCTACCAGGTCTGACTTTGAACCACAAATGACATATTCGACTTTGTCAACACTTTTGATTTAATCGTCGCATCTTACCAAAATAAGCACTTCCTTTATTCGCGTCTTTACTGAAAAAAAAACCCGCATACGTGCTGAGTGAAAATGGTTCCTCCCTCAGCAGTCCATTTTCCAATTCTTTAAACATTTTCCCCTAGCCCAGGCCGAATTCCAGACCTGACGAGGAGTTTTTGCGCTAAAACAGTAGGGTTTCCTTTCACTCCATTTCAAAACTAATGACGGCAAACGGTTAGCGGCTTAACGAACAAACTCTTCCTTGCAGCTCCTTGCATTCTCATCGCCGGCATCACGTGCGTCAGAGCCAAGCTGCATATGCAGCAGGCAGCTTGACCTCGTTTACGGCCAAGCCTTGCGCTTGCCAAATCATGCGCACGTGCGTGAATGCACGCTAGCATCTTCCATTTTACGTGAGCTCATTCATTGGTCTAAGTCAGGGCCATTGTCCAGGCTACACCAATCAATGATAAGTCACGCTCCCTTTAAATATCTTCAGCGCGGTTGCATCCGCACTCACGTCTTGATTTGATCGCCATTAACGCATCTGTCCTTGGATTAATTGACAGCTTCCTGCTACCGCAAGTTACCTATTTGCTTAAACGTTTGCATTACCCATTTTATCTCCGCGTGCGGCCTCTACTGCGCAGCACAGTCCTTCTTAGCGTTCCATACCTATTTCTACATTTTCGTAGTTCAGTTTTGCTATTAGACAGTTAACTGCTATTAGACAGTTAACTGCTGTCGCAAGTTACTTATTTACTCAATCGTTTTCCCAACCTATTTTACCTCCACGTTGCAGTTTTCACTGTAAGTTGAAGTGTACTGCCTTTACTACGCAGCCCAGTACACCTATTTGCTTAAACGTTTGCATTACCTATTTTATCTCCGCGTGCTGCCTTTACTGCGCAGCGCATTTCATCTTAGCGTTCCATACCTATTTCTACCTTTTCGTAGTTCCGCTGTGATCAGCACAACAGACGTGACATTGTTATCGAATCGCGCGGCACTGGGCTCCGAAGAATCAGTGAAACGCACCGGTCCTACGAAAACTTCTCTTCCCTTACGGAGAAGATGGGTACCACTTTGGCATTCTGCAAAATGGGTCCACCTTAAAAACAGTGTCTTGCAGGGCTTTCTACGCCTACCTATTGATGTTATATGAGGGAGCATTCAATCATCTTCATCGAAGCCGGCAACTTTTCCATCAATTCATAGTAGACATGCTAAGATGGAATCCGAAAGACTCTGTTACATCAGATTGAATCAGACCAAGTTGCGCTGCGACTCTTACATTCACCTCCGTGATGCTTTACGAAATGACGCTGATCCACGCAATATAGGCAAGATGTGCATACTACCCTGCAACGTTCACAGGCAGTCCACGATACATGCACGCGAGGACGCAAGACATACGTTCGTAAGTACGGCCGACCAGACCTATTCATAACTTTCACGTGTAACCCAAATGGTACGCAATTGCTAAAGAACTTATGCCAGGGCAATCGGCTTACGACCGTCCAGACCTCATTGCGCGCTTACCACCTGAAGTCGGGAAAGCTAATGGATGTGATTACAAAGGGCCAGATTTTGGGGGCTGTTTGCTGTCGCATGCACACTATTGAGTGGCAGAAACGTGGCCTGCCTCACGCACATATACTAATTTGGTTGTGCGTCAAGATTGAGGCCACAGAAATCGATCATCTTATTTCTGTTAAAATTCCTGATCCGTCGGCTCACCCTGGATTGTACGAAATAGTGACAACCAACATGATTCATGGGCCCTGCGGGTCGCATTACAATTACAGCAGCTGTCACAACAGCGACGGCAAATGCACCCGGCAGTACCCACGAGATTTCGTAAGCGAAACCATTACAGGGAGCGATAGTTATCCACTGTACCGGCGAAGGAGTCCCGCTGAGGGAGGATTTACAGCAGTGGTAAAGGGCCACCAAGTGGATAACAGATGGGTAGTGCCATACTGTCCCTTACTAACAAAAGCGTTCAATGCGCGCATCAATGTCGAATATTGCCATTCAGTTCGCTCCATCAAGTATGTATGCAAGTACATCAACAAAGGGACTGATGCTGCAATGTTTGGTATTAGGCAGGAAGGTTCCGTAGACGAAATCCAGGACTTCCATGCAGGGCGCGTCATCATTAGTAGCACAGAGGGCCCTTGGCACATATTCAGCTTCCCCATCTACGAACGCTTCCCAGCAATCGTTATTTTTCTGCGGATACAGCAATGGATGTGGCTGCGCGTACCAAAGATACAACGCTTACAGCGTTCTTCAATCTTTGTCGACAGGACGAGTTTTCTAAGACTCTACTGTACACAGACGTGCCTTCATATTACGTGTGGACAAAAAAGAACACCTGGGCTCGGCGGAAGTGCGGGGCCAACGTCGAGGGCTATCCAGGCGTCAAAAAAGACGCCACACTCGGAAGGGTATTCACGGTTCCCCCATCGCGACAGGAATGTTTTTACTTGCGACTCATTTTGCACGAAGTTAGTGGTCCAACGAGCTACAATAACTTACGGACGGTTAATGGAGTTTTATGTGACACTTTTCGTAAGGCCTGCCTCCGTCTCGGCCTTTTGGAAGACGACAGCCAATGGGATGCCACAATGGCTGAGGGAGCTCTTTTAAAAATGCCCTCTGCTTTGCGCCACCTCCTCACCACAATCTTACAAGTGTGCGAACCCAGTGATCCCAAATCACTTTGGGACAAATACAAGGACTTTTTGTCCGAAGACATACTCAGAGAAGCGCAACTGCTGTGTCCAACAATGGCTCTTACATTCAACGATGAAATTTACAACAGGGCGCTTATAATCATTGAGAACCTGTTTGTTGAAAGTGGTGGGGGGATCTCTCGCCGCTATTGGGCTTCCAACGCCAGATCGTGTGGCTTCCTCCAGTCTCTCACCGGAGATTGTGCGGGAGACATCCTAATCTGTTGAGGAGCTCAAATGAGCCAAAACTTCTCATAGACCAAAGGGCCGCTTACGATGCGGTCCTTGCATCCACCAGGCAGGATACAGGATCAATGGGGGAACGGGAAAAACGTTCGAAACAAAACTGCTTCTTGCAGAAATTCGGCGCCATGGGGAAGTGGCGCTAACAGTAGCGTCTTCAGGCATTGCTGCCATATTACTACCGGGTGGCCGAACAGTGCACTCAACGTTTAAACTTCCGCTTGACCTGATTAAGACAGAAACAGCTGTATGCGGTATAGCCAAGCTCATCGTCTGGGATGAGCGCACTGTCAGTCCCAAAACTGCACTCGAGGCTGTTAACCGCTCTCTGTAGGATATTCGAAACTCCGATGACCTTATGGGAGGTATAACTGACTTCTATCCGGTGACTTTCGCCAGACGCTCCCCGTTGTACCTCAGGGGACAAGAGCCGACGCTATTCGAGCGTGCTTGAAATCGTCACAACTTTGGCCCACTGTTAGACCATTGCACCTTACCATCAACATGCGTGCACACCTAACTGGCGATGTTGGGTCCGCCGAATTTTCGAATTCATTATTAGCCCTTGGCGAAGGTATTATTCCAGCGGACACTAATGGATTTGTAAACGTCCAAGGGTTGTCTACAGTGGTCACAACGCCAGCAACACTCAGGTAATCAGTTTTTCCTGATCTTCCAACCAGCTACAACAATATTGAGTGGCTTGCTAGGCGGGCCATTCTTGCCCCCCCCAAAAAAAACAGCATTGTGACAACCCTTAATAGACAGCTTCTGGAAACTGTGCCAGGGGTGTTGCACGTTTACAAATCCACTGACAGAACCCCAGACCTCGCTGAAATGGCGAACTTTCCAGTGGAGTTCTTAAACAGCCTCCACCCCGCTGGCCTCCCTCCTCACATTCTGGAACTTAAAGTGGAGATCCCGGTTATATTGCTTAGAAACCTGCGTCCAACGAAACTCTGTAATGGGATCAGGATGGTTATTCAGGCCCTCCACCCAAACATTATTGAGGCCAAAATTATAACTGGCTGCGGTAAAGGGGAGCAAGTGCTTATCCCAAGGATGCATTTTTATCCATCAGATGCCGACGTACCCTTCACTTTCAGAAGATCTCAATTCCCAGTCGCACCCTGTTTTGCTATGACAATTAATAAGGCCCAAAGACAAACGCTGTCTGTCACTGGTGTACACTTAGAGGAGCAGTGCTTCTCACACGGCCAACTTTACGTTGCCTGCTCTCGAGTCGGCAGGCGCGAGGATGTGTTCCTTTATTCAGCCTCGCGAAAAGCTAAAAATGTGGTCTACACTGAAGTCCTCAGCCAGTGATACGCAAACTCCATTCCATTTTTCCTATTTTTTGTATGGTTTCCAAAGTACCGGGTTAACAAAACAAGGGCAACAACAACCCCGTCCAAGTAGTATGACCAGTCTCAATATTTCAGGAAACTGGGTTGGGTGTAAAAAAGTATTTGTTGTTAACATTCTTTTTTCATTCCGTTTTTCCACTTACGAGTCCTTTTTTTTAAAGCTGATCGTTTTGTGTTCATTTTGTTTAGTTCTTTTTTCGTACCAGATTTAATGTTTAGTATAGAGCTTATAAAAAATTCGCAGTGTGAGATAGGCAAGAAGTAAGGCATGTAGCAACATCAACACGGCAAAGGGCACTCCTTTAAAGGCAAAGAAGGGCAAAAATATTTTAAATCAAGTAATAGCGATTGCTGTATGAGTCGTACGATTTTTGAATCAAGCACGGACAACGCCGGGCCATGCTGCTAGTTTTATATAATTTGCATACAAATATTTGAAAATTATAAACTAACCTGTTTGAAATGCAGTATTTTAATGAGATTCCATTTTTTTAACTTGTTTCTTCAGCTTCTTTATAGTATTTATTCGTCGTCCCTATAATTAAATGACGGATGTTATAGAATTCGTACTTCGGAAACGACTCAGGTTTTTACAACACAAGAATATACTGTCAAATATATAAAAGCCAAATTAATTATATTAACCCTTGATTAATCATTATGACTTCTGTCACCAAAATAATATAGGAGTTGTTAGATGACATGCTTAGATCATACTATGTAGTAGAATCATGGAGGCCATAATATTACGCGGTTGGGGAGAATCAGTTAGTTATTAATTTCAATGTATAATATGTGATCTACGTAATTGCTGGAGGAGCGCATTGATATGGGAGAAAATTATATTGTATTTATTATATAAAATAACCTCTTTTTTATCATTAGGCTGCAGATTTATTAGCATGCGGATTTAGATTATATGAAGGTGATATGACATAAATTGTTAATATATATGAATATAATTATTTTCTAAACAGTAGAAATATAGTATTTGTTAACCAAAAGCAGAAAAAGAATAAATTATGGAAAGCAAACTTAAAAAGATTCAGTTGAATTTACCAAAAAGATGTTTAGAAAATGGTCATAGCGTCCTTTTAAATTTGTCTATGCGACCTTTTTACCGAATTGATAGCATTGTTCAAACGATTATATTAAATTTCATAAAAGGAAAATAATTTTAAACAGAGAATCATGCAATATATCTGTTCACATTATGTTACAAAAAACATAACTATAATGAACTGATTTCACATAATACGACTTTCCAGCAACGAAAAAGGTCATTTACTTCGATTAAAACATTCATTCTATCTGCGTTTTAACTCTGCAAATATGCATCTCTTTGCAATTCAGATCATTCAGAAGTTTGTGATATTGCAATTTGGGTGCTTTCAACTTTCGTAGTTTCGGTCTAATGTTACATATCACTAGAAGGTGATTTGCTCCTGCAGTCGGCATTTGGAAATGTCTTATAGTGCATTCCCGAATCTCTCATTGATATTTTACACTGCTGGCTAAACCCTTAAGACCAATGGAAATAAAGAAAAAGTAGACTTTTTGCTTTGTTAGATTCAACCACTTATTTGAATCGAGCTTCAAAAAATGAAACTAAGTAACGGAAAAATAAACTTGTTTAGCCGATAATAGGGAACATTTGAATACTCAAAAATTAGGCTAAGTACTTGCTGGTTAAAAGTTTAAGCCCATACCTAAAATAAGTGCTAAATAGAGTAGGAAATGCCCAACAAAACGCCTCAGTAGTGAATTGCACGGTCGTCATTGTGAACAATTTAAAAAATAAGCTTTGGCATGGTCGATATAAGGGTGTGCACAAAGTTGGCTGGAATGTTATTCCAAGTTATGAAGATGGCTTCACATGCACTGTTTGGAATTGATGTTCATTTCTATAGACTTCCGTTGCCATTCCGCCTCAAACATTTTCATTGGGGTTCAGATCTGAAGAACACGCTGGATGATTCAAAAGAATCACGTTATTTTCTATGAAAATGTCCTTTTGTGCTGTGGTCATTATCAACGATTGCAGCGTTGTCCGGCTGAACGACCCAGTCATTTCCAAACAAGCGAGAGCCTTCATTCAATAATGATGCTCCCTCCAATATGCCATTGTAACCAGTTGCAGTTTGACACTCCTGTATAACCTGATGCTCCATTGTTCCTTGGAAGAAGATAGTACCCCAGATTATGATAGAACCTCCTTTACTGTGTCGTGTAGAAAATGTCTTCGGTGGGCTTCCTGGGCTTCCATCATTAATTTAAATAGTAATACACCAGACTGTCATCCAGCAACTGTTCGCATCAAACAAAAAATAATTCTCGAGGCATGGAATATCAAAACACTAAATAAATATGGCCAGTTAGAAAATATAAATCAGAAAAAGAACATGTTAAATGTTCATGTTTTAAGTGTATGTGAAACGAAGTGGCGAAACAATGTATTTGACTATTTGAAGGAATTCTTCTTCTTAAAATGAAAGGGAATCCTTTCAACATAACCATCATAATTATATATGTACTGACAACACAAAGTACAGAAGAAGAAATTGAAAAGTTTTACTGTGCGCTAAACTGCGCCAAGATTCAATGCAAATAGCAAGAAATTACAATCGTTATGGGAAAACCTGAATTCCAAAGTAGGCAAGGAGTGAGATAGTAAAATAATTGGCAAATTCGGACTAGGAACTCGTAATGAGCACGGTGAATAATGGATCCAATGTTGTATAAGGAATGATAAGGTACTAGCCAACATCTGGTTTCAAGAACATGGAGAAACCCAAAAAGAAAAATGAAAAACCAAATCGGTTATATAATAATCAATAAGAGATTCAGGAATGCAGTTTTACATTGCAAAACATTACCCAAGTGCCGACTGTGGGGCGACCACGTTCCAGTGATATGTAGACAGAGTGAAACTACGGAAATTGAAGAGGCCTAAGAAATTACCCAAATTGCAATACGACAGACTCCTGAATCACATGAATGTAACGGAGAATTATATAGTGTTAAAATCAGATACAATGCACAAAATGTGAATAGCAATTTGAAGTGGGACACATTAAGGGAAGCTTTAGTAACATCACCTATCAAGATCATCTGAGAGAATAAGAGACAGAGAAAAAGATAAAATTACTGACCTGATGAAAAGGAGATAAAATACAATTCCAAAGTGAGGAACAGAATATAGAACTCTGGACAAATAAATTGGGAACAAATGCTGGCAGACTAAAACGAAAAATGTACAAAAATAAAAATAATGACAAAGCGTAAAGAAAATATCTAGTCCGTAAATTTGTTGTGAAAGAAGACAGAAGTAGCAACGAAGATATCCCAAGTGTCATTTTCCTACACCGAGGGGAATTGCTTCAAGAATAAAGAACCTGATTATCATAACCAACTGATTTTTAGCCTTTCTCACGAAGGTGAAACGGTCGTATTTGGGACATTACTCCTAGTACATCTTTGTTTCTTTGCGGATCAAAGTGGAAATCAAATCACTGTATGGGTCAGAAGCTGACCAGTCTTTGAAAAACTGTCTAAGGACACGGGCGTATGTTCCCACATGGCAATATTTGTGCTCATGCTTCACATTTGTATACAATAGTATCTTGTCAAAGACGAGTTCGGATTTCTATGACTGAAGAATAGTCTAACGTGAAACAAATGCATTTAAATTGAATTAAAACAATTGTATTTATTCTTGAATTCTCGGGACGAACTGACTTTACAAGGTGATATCCACCGGAAACAGAAAAATAGAAAGTAAGACACTCCAGTGTCGTCTACTCTTTACCCACGATTTCTCTTCTTAACACCAGTGTATATTCTATGTCACCAGTGCATATTCCGTATCAACCTCTGTTATTTGTGTAGTTATGTGGTCTATTTCTGTGCGTAGAAGTCACATAACTATAAATGTGTTGACGCCTCTTTATGCGTAATGACATTATTA